TCATCACCAGCTATGTCAGGGAATAACAGCCATAAAACACAGAAATCCTTTCACACTAGCTCAAGGGAAAGGACTGCCCTGTAAGGCTCTACCAGGCAAAGGCAAGTAAGGGAACCAAACGAGAGACAATGGCAAATGGAGTTAGAGTTACGGAGTTAGAGAAACCAGACCTTATGTTTCTGGCTCTCAGAAGCCCAGTGTCCTTCCAGTCAGCCCCAGGAACTCTCCTTTCTCTGTTTCACTCACTCACCACCAGCTTTCTCTTTCTGCTCATGACCCATCATGGTAGGCTTCTCAGAGCCCACCACCAGATGACTAGTCACTTCAGCTCTTGGTTTAAGTCTTGAGAGAGAGAACTGGGTTTCTCACCAACCAACTGAATGTGGGGAGGAGATGCCACATGGTACAAATATGGTGCCTAGACCTGCCTCTCAGCAAGGCCTACAAGTAGGGGAATCCTAAGAGAAGGTGCCTGCTAGCATTGCAGGTACTCCAGAACATGCTCTCTCTTTTTTTAACTCTCTCTCCCCTCTCCCCTAGGCTGTAAATGCCCTGGGACATCAAGGATAATACTTGGCTCAAACGTTTGAGAAAGAGGATTTGGATCCAACACTAGACTTGACGGTTTCCTAAATTCACCCTGCAAGTATTTGGGAAATAAATAAATGTCAGTCTCTGAGAATCAAGAAAAGGGAGTCAAATCTAGCTGGGTTGGTTCCCACACCTGAAAGGCTCAGTTGGGTGAATTTACCCACACTTTGCCATAAATGGCATGGTGTGTGAGTAGGCATTGTACCCTGATTAAAGCATAATTAGCAAGCAGCAGGAATCACGTTCTCTAGGAGAGCTTATCCTACTTCTTTTTTTTTTAATTTTATTTATTTATTTGACAGACAGAGATCATAAGTAGGCAGAGAGGCAGGCAGAGAGAGAGGAAGGGAAGCAGGCTCCCTGCTGAGCAGAGAGCCCGATGTGGGACTCGATCCCAGGACCCTGGGATCATGACCTGAGCTGAAGGCAGAGGCTTAACCCACTGAGCCACCCAGGCGCCCCTCCTACTTCTTTTTTAACTTCCACATCGCAGGCATTGAAATGACATGGATGACAGACTCTCCCAGAATGGATAAAGCCGGAAAGGACCTTGGAAATCATTAACTCTCTCATTTTACAGGGAGAAAACTAAGTCCCAGGGAGAGAGCAAGTGCTTACAAGTAGAGCCAAAACCAAACCTGGATGTCCCACTTCTGAGAGCAGTCCCCCTTCTGTAGCACTGTACTGTAGTAAGGACTATGTCATCTGACCCAAGTGAAACCAGTTCCTTTGCAGCTACTGGAACCCCAGGCATGGTCAACAGTGTTGCCTTCACGCAGTTTTCCAGCCTGGTAACTGATTGTCTTCAGAGTTGAAAATGCAGTTTTAGTAAAACTGATTGCCACTCCCTGCAGCTGTTCATTTCTTAGCTTTTCCCCTCTTCTGTCTTATTCTACCCACATTCTAGAACTGGTCCTTAACCAGGATAAATAGCTAGAGCAACAGGAAGATGGAACCAAAGGGGCAGTGGAAATTTCTGCTGGGTCATTAGTGGTCCCCAGCTGCTGGCTGGATTTAGAACATGCCTTTAAGTGTCAGGGTGAAAATAACCCAAACACTATGGAGACAGTTTCCTTTGTGCAATTACTGGGACTAACCATGCCACAGAATAGAAGGGTCATGCTCCCTGAACTCATTTTAGGTTAGGTATTTGAAACCTGGGTAACATCTCTTTGAGTGGAAAATGGATTCTGTGATTGGTTTCCAAGCTAGTCTACTTGACTGATATTATAACTGACATCTGGATCCCAGAACCTGGAAGCCAGAATCATTAAGGTCCAGGAGGGGGGAGTTTCTGTGTCCATGGCATCCTCTGCTTCCTCCAATCCCCCCTCCAAATCCTCCTAGTGGCTTTGCTTCCCCAAGATACTGGAGTACTCCAGGTTTTGACAGCTGCCTCTCCCCACTTTGGTCCCTCAGGCACACTACTGTCAACCCAGATTTTGGAGTAATGGGCAATCTGCTATAACTAACCCACATGTATGTGTGAATGACTAACAGTTCCTAAAACGATAGTTCTGACATGTCAGTGGGGTATGTCAGGGGCACTAGAACCACCTGGAGAGCTTATGAAATGTAGGCTCCCAGACCTCAGTCAAGAGGTGTGAATTCAGCAAGGGCTAGAGTGGAGACCAGGGAATTTGTGAGGGTTTGTTTGGTTGCTTTTTGTTTTGTTTTGTTTTTGAGAGAGAGAGGGAGAGGGAGACCGAGTGCAGGCACGAACAGAGGGGAAGGGCAGAGGGAGAAGCAGACTCCCTGCTGAGCAAGGAGCCCCACTCGACTTAGGGCTCAATCCTAGGACTCTGAGATCATGACCTGAGCTGAAGGCAGACACCTAACCAACTGAGCCACTCAGGTTCCCCAGGAATTTGTGTTTTTTAACAAGCAGTTCAGTTGATTCTAATGTTGATATAAAATACCATGGATAAACACTAGAAAAGGGGAAGTGCCAGGTGTTTGTAAATTCCAGGGTGATTTCTTCTTTACTAGGCAGGAAGAGTCACAAAGAACAGAATCCAGGATTTGCAGGCAAAAAAAAAAACAAAACAAAACCAAGGCAAAAGCAAGCTACGCCTAGGTGAATTGTCTCTGTGCTTCCATTTTACCTACTATGATATGGCATGGATCAGCCATAAGAAAGCTCCCGCACTATAACAAGGAAATATGCTACAACATGGATGAACCTGGAAAACTTAAAGCTAAGTAAAAGAAACCAGACACAAAAGGTCACATATTGTGAGATTCATTTCTATGAAACATCCAGAACAGGTAAAACTATAGAGACAGAAAGAAGATTAGAGGCTAGTAGGACACGGGGGAGTGACTGCTTGGGTACAGTCTCCTTTTGGGGTGATGAACGTGCCCTGGAACTAGAAAGAGGTGATCACTGCACAACATTGTGACCATACTAAATGCTACTCAATTGTATACTTTAAAATGTTAATGGAGGGGCGCCTGGCTGGCTCAGTGGGTTAAAGCCTCTGCCTTCGGCTCAGGTCATGATCCCGGGGTCTTGGGATCGAGCCCTGTGTCCGGCTCTCTGCTCCGCAGGGAGCCTGCTTCCTCTTCTCTCTCTCTGCCTGCCTCTCGGCCTACTTGTGATCTCTGTCAAATAAAACAAATAAAACAAATCTTTAAAAAATAAATAAATAAATAAATAAAAATGTTAATGGTGAATTTTATGCTAGGTGAATTTCACCTATTTAAAAAAAAAAAAAAAAAAAGCATGGGCTATAACCAAGCCTCCTGGGTTCAAAGGCCAGTTCTGCTACATGATCTTGAGCAAACTCTGTGCCTGTTTCCTTAAAGGGGGAAATCTCTAAAAGAGGGGCTATAATAGTAGACACCTCACAGAGTTTGGGGAGCATTAGATGAGTTAATCCCCCTATAAATTTAGGAAATGTATTGGTTTATGACATGACAGTAAATATGTGCCATGCTTTCATCACACAAACCCTACCTGCTATTATTCAGGCAACAAAGGCCAGGCAGGTTAGGGGCTTATTTAAGTTCACACAGCATGTTCAAAAGCCAAGCTGCGGTTGGCACCCAGCTCTCTTGGGCTCTAAGTCCATGCTCTTCCCCTGCTGACCATCCAATTTGATCCCTGACCAGGAATCTTGACCCCAAAGCCCCAATCCCTGATAGCAGCACAACTTCTTTTCAGTGCCCCTATCATGATCTACCTACAAGACAGAAACACTAAAGCAACAACTGTCTTTGCTTCTTCCCACCTGAAAGCCTTGGCCATCCTAGGGGGACTTTACCCACCATCAGCCTGGCAATGAGTCTGAGCTAGTGGAGAGCTTTCCCTTCTTGGTTCCCGTGACCATCAAGTTCTAGTCACAGAATGTCCTGCATTGATTTAACTTGGAAATAGGAAAAATCGTCACTATCTTATTATAATCAGCAGGGTCACCCAGAGGATTCTGTCCCAGCAGGTAAGGAAGTGTAATCAGCTGTCCCCTTGGATCTTTTGGTTCACTCTTTAGAGTGTCCCCCAACACACACTCCTCTTTTCCCTGGTACAGTTTAAGACCACAGGTTTTTTTCTATATTGGTTCAATTCTTATGCTTTCAAGAATAATCTAGCTTAGGGTGCCTGGGTGGCTCAGTGGGTTAAGCCGCTGCCTTCGGCCCGGGTCATGATCTCAGGGTCCTGGGATCGAGCCCCGCATCGGGCTCTCTGCTCAGCTGGGAGCCTGCTTCCCCCTCTCTCTCTGCCTGCTGCTCTGCCTACCTGTGATCTCTCTCTCTCTCTCTCTCTGTCAAATAAATAAATAAATAAATCTTTAAAAAAAAAAAAAAGAAGAATCTAGCTTAATCACATTCTCCAAAATCTGCTTTCCCTAAGTAGAGAGAAGTAAGTCTATAGCCATTTATGTCTAGAAATCCTTCCTGATTCCGTTGTTTTCCTCAAACAGTATGGGAGTCCTAGGGAAAACCCTGGGATGTTTGCCAAGAATTAGGTCCACTGGATATTTAATATTGAATCAGATCATCACAAGCAGAAGATAAGGAAAATCATCCCACAGGAAATATCCAAATTCTAGGCTCTTACCTTCTAGACACAGAACAACCCAAGTAACCTGACCTCCCCTTGCCCTGCCTTCCCTCCCATATCAGGTTCCACAGCCAATCCCAGCTTCCTCCAGGACTGTGAGGTCTGTTCCAGGAACAGATCCAATCTGGCAGTTGTGAGATACAATTAGCCCTTCCTTTATGCCTACCAACATTTGCACCTCCAGAGAATCAAGTCAGAAGCCCCAGGGTAGCCACCCCGAGCAAAAATCCCCCAGAAGAAGTAGGCCGAACAGAAGGGTATTGAGAGAGGTCTTAAGATCACTTTGATAGCCCTGGCAGTATCCATTCACAGAACTTCTCAGTACCTTCCCTCTTTCATTCCCAAGGTCGCTGGATGGAAGATCACGGAGTCATTCACAACATGATGTTTAATACAGAGACAAAATGGAAGTACTCCTTCAAAACTACACTGAACAAGACTGAGTGGTGGGACAATGGTGTTCTTCCCCTCTGGATCACAGCCCAGAGACAGGTACTATCAGAAACCCTGGGTTGGCTTCCAGGGATATTGCCTCTCATTCCTAAGCATGTGGGATGAGGGTTAGAAGCTGTGACCTTGAGAAAGTGACTTAACTTCTCTAAACATGTTTCCCTAAATGTGTAATGGGAATAATGATGATGCGCTTATGTAATAGATTTGATGTAAGTATTAAATGAAATATGCATTTAACCATTATCGATGGATGAGTCTCCATGAGGGCAGAGTCTGGCTGAATCGTGATTGTAGCTCCAAGGTTCACCATAGGGTCTGAACTCAGCAGCCCTTTCGTAAATATCTGTTTATACACTTGCCTCAGACGTAAGCATAAAAGCCCTTAAGAATGAAGCTGACCATTTAATGAAGCTTTAGACCATGAAAAGCTCTGAGAACATTCACTTGAAAGGATCCCAGTGGCCATTTACTATTGCTTCAAAAAGGCAGAAATCAGAGCTGCATGTTTAAGTCCCAGCCCCAAAACTGCTGTCAGCTTTGCATTTTCTTAAACAGCTTCCACAGTCATCGCTTCAGGGTAGAATCTTCTCTCCCCAAGACACCAGCCTTTGCTCCAAAGATCCCCTTGCACTGGAGCTTCATCTCTGTGCTCCAGCATACGGAGTGTGTCCTGCTGCAAGGTGGTGTGCTGTTGTCGCTCAGAAGGCAGGCTGTGGACTTGGACTCCTGGAGAAGGATCTGGCCAGCTCTACCTTTCTCCAGCTGCCTGTCCTTGGGCAAAACCCTCCTCCCTGTGCTTGATTTGCCCCACCCATAAAATGCCCATTACGAAGGTTAACTGAGATAATGCATGTAACATGCTGAAAACCAAATGTTCAAAAACTATTAGTCATTAAAGGAGGCTGAATCATTTTAGCACTTCAGCTGGTCACTACAGCTCTAAGCCAGAACTATCCAATGGAACTTTCTTTGATGATAGACATGTTCAACTGTGCACTGTCGAACATGGAAGCCACTAGCCACACGTGGTTACAGAGCCCTTGAAATGGGACTAGTGAGACTGAGGAACCAAATTTTTAATTGCATTTAATTTTTATTAATTTCAATTTAAATCTAAATAGCACATGTGGTTACTGACTACCGTACTGGACAGCATAGCTCTAAATGAATCAAAGGGGGTTGTCAGTGACTCTATCTCAGCTTCATTTTTCCCTTAACTGTTGTGCTCTAGATTCCTTCCTCTTCTGTCACATTTTTTCACTTTAAGGCAGAAACCATGCAAATAAATTCTGCCCCCTCAAGAAAATAACACTAATAACACCTTCTATGTGCCTAGTACTGATTTAAGTGCTTTACATTTATTAATTTATAACAGTTCTTAAGTAGGTGTTAGGATCATGCCCACTTAACAGGTGAGCAAACTTTTTTGTAACTTCTAAAGTAACAAAACTAGCAAGAGGCAAAGCTAAGATTTTAACTCACTCAGGATTCAGCAACTCTTAACTCTTAACTATAACATAGTATTACTTCCTTGGCTGAAACATTCAGCCATGGGTTTTTTTTTTTAATTTTTTTTAAGATTTTATTTATTTATTTGACAGACAGAGATTACAAGTAGGCAGAGAGGCAGGCAGAGAGAGAGAGAGGAGGAAGCAGGCTCCCTGCTGAGCAGAGAGCCCAATGTGACGCTGAGATCATGACCTGAGCCGAAGTCAGAGGCTTTAACCCACTGAGCCACCCAGGCGCCCCCAGCCATGGGTTTTATAGTGAATCACCTATTTGTCCTTCTCCTAGGGAGGTCTGGGCGGTCTTCATTAATTTAGTGTTCAAAACCCAGAGCCTTTCTAGTCTCCTGCTACACTATTTGTTCATTGGCACGAGGTTTCTGGTAGCATTCTTTCCTGTAGTTTTTCTTATTCATGGTTCTTGTCTCATTGCCATTTATTTTCAGGACTCTGTTTCCTTCTGCTCAACTCATAATCAGAGTGTTCTTTCTCTGTGCTGAATTCATAAGTGGTTGTGCAAAACAGGATCTGGTGCGGGGCCAGATGATTGACAACACGCCATGGGTTTGGCAAGTGAAAATCAAGCTGGTATATCTCATTCTACCACTGACATCTCCTGCCATGGGACAGGGCCACTGGCCAGCTCCCCGAGGAGTTGGCAGGAAAGCTGCTGCAATCAGAGCAAACCTGTGGCCCTAGGTCAGCCCCGCAGTAACAGCATACCAAATGGCCCTAAATGTCATTCAGGGGTCCAGTTACCAGGCAGAACTATAATGGAGTGGCCTAACCTCTAACCATCACTGGGAAAATCCATCCTTCTCCAGCTGGGCTTTGTGGAGATTGATGCATTCACCTTTAATAGGACTAAAATGTTTTCCTTCCATGACATTAATGCTGCCAGAGTCTAACAAGATACATAAGAATTGACATGCGTTGTGGATGATGCCTAAAAGATGGGATTCCTGGCCACCTTTGAGTCCATTATTCACAGTCCAAGAACATATCCACACTCCAGCAGGACTTCAGTAATGGTCAGGGTATGAACGGAGAGGGTCCATTCAAAGCAAGCTCAGATTTTAAATGAGTATGCCTGATAACGGAATATAATTAATGGCTGAAGTGGTTCACCAAGTTCAGAAGTCCTAATCCTCAGAGAAAGGCAGGTAGCCATGACATTAAGACCCAGAAAAACCATAAAAACCTAGGAGCATGTATCACCTTCCTGTGGAGGAGCTATAGAGCGTATTAAGGAGTGAAATGGCAGAGGATAATCTGAGTGAGATCCCCATGGCTTCCAAAAGTCTGTATCAGGACCAGGGTAGGCTATAACCAGGAGGGGATTTAGAGAGAAGGTGGGGAGGGCAGCTATGATTTTCACTGTAAGCCGAGTCTCATAGACAATAGCTTCCAAACTTGGAAGAGCTGTGAGCAGGATGGTGCCAGCTGCTTCTGCCTAGAGCATTAATAACAAGATAATTCATTCCAATATTGGCCCAGACCATGTCTTTATTATGCATCATAAAGGTTCTAAGAATAATGATCTGACCTGTGAAAGAGTGTGGGAGGGGGGGAACATAGAATCTTGGCCATCTGGTTCCTTCTGTTCAGTGACTCCTCTAGAGCCCAGAAAAGCAATGAAAACAACTCAGATCAACCTTGACTTCTGAATTTCACATACATAGAGTCCATGTCTTTCCACCCAATCACTTCCTAGAAGGAGGAACTCCTTTCCCTAAACCATACATACTTCCCACCAAAGCACAACCATGACGAAATGTTCGGAGGCCTTCCTAAAACACGTGTACCTTGTGACTATTCACTCTGTCCTAAAAGAAGAGACAAGACAAAACGCAAAACTAAACTGAAACTTCTGTTCTAATGATTAGTTCTGAGGAGTTTGGTGGACTCTGTACAAAACCAAAGGATTTTGCCTATAGGAAGTACCAACTCTTGTTTTAAAAAAGCAACTTAAGAGTAATAGCCACATTGATGCAACACTACACTAAGGGAGAATAATGAACCTAATAAAACCAGCGATTTTCCAATTGCTATTGCTACTGGAAACACTGATTATGCTAATTAAAGGGTAGAATAGTAAATACCCACTCTTTTGCATCCAATTAAATGCTCAGATTATTTCTCAGAAGTATTTGTTGAAAATAGCACTTTTGATTATCCCGGGTCCCAAATAGAGTCGTGTGTGTGTGTGTGTGTGTGTGTGTGTGTGTGTGTGTACACACGCAAACATACATTTCTTTCTGGAGCTCCTTTCATGAAACAGTTTAACTCTTAAAATCCCTAGTGGGCAAAGTGAAAAAAAAAAAAATCACAGTTTCCTAAGACTACAGCTTGAGATATCTTTAAAGAAGGTGTGTGTTGAGGGCACCTGGGAGCCTCAGTAGGTTAAGCGACTCCCTTCGGCTCAGGTCATGATCCTGGAGTCCCGGGATGGAGTCCCACATCGGGCTTCCTGCTCAGCAGAGAGTCTGCTTCTCCCTCTGACCCTCCCCTTTCTTATGCTCTCTCTCACTCTCTCTCTCATTCTCTCTATCTCTCAAATAAATAAATCAAATCTTTAAAAAAAAAAAGAAAGAAAAAGAAAGTGTGTGTTGAGAACACAGCACAAGAAAACAATTTCAAGTTAGGAACTTCTGAGATTTAACATGCAAACATCAAGAAGTCAACTGGATATGCAGAGCTGCCTAAGTCCCTCATAATGCCAATGTCAGTTTATTCTAGATAATAAAGTAGCCAGTCAAACTATGTTCTACAAAATGTTGAAAGTTTTATCCTTCCAGTCAATTCCATACTTCAGAGCAAAGTCAATTTATATTAAGTTAAACAAAGTACCACCGTTAAAAACTGAGAATTATGAGTAATGCCAATCAGAAATGCAATAAATAAATATTAGAGGATTTGCAAGTTAAAGCAACCATAGAAATTCTATTATCAAAAATGAAAATGTGTTGCCTGAAGAGATTACAAATAAGATGCTGGAACCCAGAAAAGAAAGAGCTTCTGTAACTCTTTACATAAGTTAATCAGGAGTGAGAATAGGATGGGTTTTGCACCCACAAAAGGAGATGTGACTCATGCATTCATTCAAAATCCACTTAACCAGCAATTACCACCTACTCTGAGCCAAGCCCATTCCACGTCCCAGAAAAAGAGTCGTCAATAAAATCAACATGGCCCCTGATCTCATGGAACTCACATTCTAAGGGAGGGAAATAGACAGTAAACAAGAAACACATTAAGATAATTTCAGATTGGGTAAAGTACTTTAAAGAAAATAAAATTAAATCACATGAAAGAAAATGAACGCTGGAGGCCAGAGGGTCCAATGTTTCACCTATGGCAATGGATAGCAGAGCTTCTGGAGCCTTGAAAAGTATTTAGCATTAAAACTTCTATCTTGGGGCACCTAGGTGGCTCAGTCCTTAAGCATCTACCTTTGGCTCAGGTCATGATCCCAGGGTCCTGGGATCAAGCCCCTCATCAGGCTCCCTGCTCAGTGGGAACCCTGCTTCTCCTTCCCCCACTTCCCCTGCTTATGTTTTCTCTCCCACCGTGTTTTTCTCTGTCAAATAAATAAATAAAATCTTTAAAAAAAAACATCTTCTATCTTGAGGTGCAGCGGCTCCATCAGTTGAGCATCTGCCTTTAGCTCCATTATGATCCCAGGGTCCTGGGATTGAGGTCCACATCAGACTCCCTGCTCAACAGGAAGTTGGTTTCCCCCTCTTCCTCTGCCCACTGCTTCCTTGTGCTCACACTCTCTCTCTAATAAATAAATAAAAATCTTTTTAAAAATTTTCTATCTTATTTCAAGCTTCCTAAAAACAGAGCCTGAGGCAGGGATTTGGTGAATATAAGGCACTAAGGGAGAGTTCTCAGGAGATGGGAGTGAGGGAAACTGACAGGGCAGGATTTGAAAGAAGAGAAGGGAGCTATGGTTGCAGTTAGAGAGCAGCTTCAGCCTAATCCCACAGAGCTCTGGAGCATGAATTGCACCCCCATGCTATCCCATCCTGAGGCAAGGAAGCTGGTCTTTGGTCCTCCTATCAGTCAATCACTGGCCATAGGCAGCTAGGAGTGAAGAAGCAGTATGGAACACCTTACCAGGTGAAGCAAGATTTGGCCACTTAGCCGAAGGTAATTTTCCAGAACATGGAACAGCTGAAGTGAATGTGAGTGCACTGGCCCAACAAGGGGATCTAGGGTAGAAAACCAAAAGCATCCCTCACAACTTCCAAATTGCTTTCCTGCTTCTCTCTCTCAAACAGGACATTCTAAGTTTTGTCATTACTCATGGATATAGTTTTCTGCTCATTTGTCAACCAAATAGCCACAACCCAGGTGCCATTATCCCAAAAATCTTCCTGGTCATTTATGCTCCATACCAAATCAATATAGTGACACCACCATCACCCTTGGTTCTACTAAAATCAATGAACTTTCGTGTTTTTCAGAACATCCAAATATTGGGTGGTAGAGGAAGTGTCACAGTACAGCCTTCAAGCTAATAGCTTTACTGAGACAAAGGAAAGTACTTGCTCCCCAAATAAGTAGGACATTCATTCATTAAACCAAAATCCACTGAGCCCCTACTATGTGCCATGTCCTGGTCAATGAGCTGCTTTACAACAACAGGACTTTGTGAGATGTGCCCATCTCATTGTTAATTCATTGGTGAGCAAACATAAAATTCTTTTTTTTCCTAACAATTTTACCAAACTTTGTCAAACTTTGTTAACCCCTTTCTGCTTGGGGGATCACTTAAGAATATTTTCATTACTTTGACATCATGTGTGTTGTTAAAACAACCTGATTTCTGGTCCAAAGCTTTCCTCTAACCCTTATTCCTCCTCCTCAGAAGTCCCAAGATCAAATCTCTTTGGCTCTGACTGGGACATGGGCCCAAGGCTGAACCAACTGCTGTGGCCAGTGGAAGTAGTGTTCTCCGATTGGCCAGGCCACAACCAAATCCCACCTCTGGAGCCTGATGTGGAAACAACACATCCCAAATCAGTCATGAAGCAAGGGCAGAGTCTCTAGGGGAAGTCAGGGTTCTCTGAACCATTGGAGGGGGAGTGGGTGCTGGGCTGGCAAACATATTAAGTGTTCACTACACACATCGAGGAAGGCTTTGTGGTGGTTTGCTATACCTGGAGGCAAACAAAAGAGTGCCTACCACGGGCCAAAACACAATCTCTACCACTTTATCTTAAAGTTAGCTGACTTAATCCTCACAAAAATAACATCAACTTTTTGGCATTTTACGTGTGGAAACACGAAGTATAAGAGATTAAAGAATTCACTCACCATCACCAAAACAGAATGTACCATTTTTCCTCCATTCCAAGGAACTTCTTTTCACTTTGCCACGTCTGAAGCTGGAGCGCATCTTACCATCAGTGGAGTGTCATGGTTTAACGGGCAGCACTTTTTTTCTAGTAGCACATAAAATAATAGCATGTCTTGCGATGGTGTTATAGATTTGATGAGATCCTGGTAAAGCCAGGAATGAAGTCCAACGCCTTCTGATTCCAAGTCTTGCATGTTCTCTATGTCTCTGGACTAGGGCAGGGACATCAACAAGCCAGGCTTTGCTTGTTATGAAAAAGATATGAGAAACCGTCCTGATAGAATTTTCTTCTTATCCTTGCAGGGGAGGAAGACGGCATCATTCCACTATCCTGGAGGAGGTGCGAAGTACAAAGGAGAGGCTGTCCAGCGGTCCCTGGTAGAGTCTTACACTCACCCAGACAGCAATGAGACAGAGTGGAGGGAGAACATTGACATTGTCATGAACTGGTTCACTAAGGAAGATTTTGACTTTGTCACTCTGTACTATGGAGAGCCAGATAACATGGGACACAAATTCGGGCCTGAGACAGAGAACAGAAGGGTGATTATTCAGCAAATCGACAGAACAATCGGGTACCTGGTGGAAGCCATTGAGAGGCACAACTTGACCAAGAACCTCAATGTCATCATCACATCAGACCACGGCATGACCACAGTGAAAAAGAAGCCCAATGTCACTGAGATCCTCTTGACTAACTACATCAAGTTCAGGGACTTAGTCAAGTTTGATATTGTGGATTATGGTGGCTTTGGGATGCTCCTGCCCAAACCAGGGCAAGAGGAAGCCGTTTACCAAGCGCTGAAGAATGCACACCCTCATCTCAACGTGTACAAGAAGGAGGAATTCCCAGAACGCTTCCATTTTGCTAAACACCAGCGGGTCCTGCCAATCGTGATGTATGCTGACCCTGGTTATAACATCAATGGGGTGAGTTGATTCTAAAATGAATAAAGTCATCTTGGGTCTTGGAGACAGCCTCTAGAGAGAAACAGGTCTGAAAAAAATGAAAATATAAGTTGTAATCCACTGTTTCCTAAGTGTTCCCCATCCCCAAGCCCACATCCCACCCAACCAACCCTGTTCCATGTTACCACTATGTAATAATAATGACAAACATCCCTTCCTGACCAAGGCCTTGTTCAGCACTGTACTAAAATTTTAACATTAATTATTTCATTTTTGTTTTCCCAGCCCCTAAAGATACTCTTATCTCCCCCATTTTAATGAAGAATAAACCAAAGCTAGAGAAAAGTGATTTGGGATTAAAAGTAGATCCACCAAAAAACCCACCTGCTGGTTCCCCTTTGCACATATCAAAACTAATAATGAAAATAATAAGCAACCCTGTTCACAAAATTATATACAAATGCTCATAGCAGAATCATTCAAAATGACCAAGAAGTGAAAACAACCCAATTGCCCATCAGTTGATAAGTAGATAAATGAAATATGGTATATCCATACAATGGAATATTATGTTGCCATTAAAAGGAACAAAGTACTGATAGATGTTATAACTTGAACGAATTGTGAGAATACTATGATGATGGAAAGAAATTAGATACAAAGGACTACATACTGTCTGATTCTATTTAAATGAAATGTTTAGAATAGGCAAATATATAGAGAGAGATCACAAATTGGTGATTATCTAGAATAGGGGGTTGATGACAGGAGAAAATGGGGAGTGACTGTTGAAGGGTACAGGGTTTCTTTTTGGGGTGATGAGTGTTCCAAAATTGGTTGTGGTGACAGTTCCACACCTCTGAGAAAAATTGAAAAATCTTCAAATTGTACATATGGTATACAAATCATATCTTAAGAAAGCGGTCATGAAAAATAAGCAAATCTAAAGAAGAAAATACCAAAATCAAGGCTAGTTGTGAGACATAAGTGAGGTGGTCTGGTTTTTGTAAACTACCAACTAATGATTCATGGCAGAACAAAGTTTAGGTGCTATTTAAACATCACATGACAGAAGACCATCCCAGGTATAGCTTGGAGAATGCTTGTCCTAGGCTACGGACAGGAGTTAAACATTATAATCATGTCTGCAATCTGTATACTCCCATATTGCTACAAATTCAGAATATAACAGGTACGAGAAAACTCATAAGGTTATTGTTTAATATTGGTGGAAATAGTCACAGTAAAATGCAACAATTTATTGATATTTTGCAATCTCTCACACAGCCCAGAACACTGACGATATGTGCCCAAAGCTAAGGTCTTGCCAAGAAGAGATTCTACAGTCACTGGCCTCTTTGTAAGCCTGGTTCATGATATAACAAGCTGAGAGTGAGGTGAAGGGATTTAATGCAATAGTCACATTCCCAACAGAACCAGCCAGGTTTGAGGGAATAGGGAACCTTCTGAACTGGCCATTAGGCAGAAAATTCTTTGAATCTCAGTGCCTCTCACTGAATACACTTCTCAGATCCCCATCCACCTGCCTGCTTTGGTGTGCACAGTGAAGTAGGTGTTACTCTTCTCTCTCTAGGATTGAGGAGGTGGCAAAACACATGAGGCCATCACCAGAGATACTGTGTTTGAGCTTATTATTATTATTGTCAGTATTATCTTCTTGCTGTGTCTAATGGGTATGCTTTCTTTATTCTCTTTCTTAAAGATCTTTCATTCCTTCCTCTTTTCTTTGGCCCTGCAGAGCAGTGTCCTTCCTTGTCATTTAATTTTTCAAAGATCTCATGGATCTGACATGCATGACATAAGGATAGTTTTCTTTCAGGGGACTAGAATCTAAAATGGCTTTTTTGTTATTATTTTTCAGCAACTTATAATATATTTCAACAAGGGAGATCATGGCTTTGATAATGCCCACATGGACATGAAGACCATATTCAGAGCTTTTGGGCCAGATTTCAAGAAGAATCACGTAGCTGAGCCTTTTGACAGCATCCACATCTACCCACTCATGTGTAAGCTTCTGGGGGTTACCCCTGAACCCCACAATGGCTCCCTGGCCATCACCCAGGAAATGCTTGTGGACTCACAGGACCAGCAGTCAGGTGAGATACAGAAACAACCAACAGAAAATTGATGGCGTGCTCTGTCCTGAGAAAAGAATCAAAAGGTTGGGGTGGGGGTGGAGGTTAGTGGCAGAATCAAGCAGAATAATCCTGTTTCCCTGATAGCTTCGGTGCCCCCAGGGCAAGACAGCTGCAGCTCTAAACAGATAGGGGAGGAAGTGGGGAATCCCTCCACGTGTTGGTAGCATTTCACATAGTGCCTTTGGGGCAAAAGGAACCCTCTGCGTAGAAAATGTCAAGCAGGGCGCCTGGGTGGCTCAGTGGGTTAAGCCGCTGCCTTCGGCTCGGGTCATGATCTCAGGGTCCTG